TCTCAGAAGTCAGTCTACTGGAAAATTTGGTCTGGAAAGTTTAGTTCTTCTGAGCTAACGCATACCCAAAACTGTCTTACATGTTTGATGAATAGATATTACATATATATATACACACACACACATATGTATGTACGTATTTCCCCACTCATGTATAAATTGGAAAGAGAAAAAACAGTTTTCCTCAAGGTTTAAGAAAAAAAAAAATACTGCTGTTTGTGTTGCAACCAGTCATGAAAGACTTTCAACTAAAAAGGAAAGTTTTGAGCAGTCAGAGGCTGTGATTTAGCAACAGCTGTTTGTGATCAGTGCCAGTAGAAATCACTTGTTTTCACCCAGCCGAAAAGAACAGGCTGGTAAAAGGGATTCCAGGAATAGGTACAGTCTTTCACACAGAGTTTAAATAAATCGAGTGTACATATTGTAAGATGGTGCCATTTACAATGTAACATATTTGTCATTTCTAATGAGATTTTTCCAGAAATCAGACATAGAATAAAATTAGGGTTGATAGTTGTTTTGTAAAGGAATTGAGGAAATCTGAGCCCTAACTATAGTTCCGACCCCTTAGAAAGTACATAGAAATTTTCACTGCTGGGCTTCTGGTTCAAAACCTGACTGTCTTCATCAGCTAACACCTTTATGGTCAAACTGAGTGGATAGTGTTGGATATAAGAAGAGAATAAATGCGGTTCTCAGTTGGATCCAGTATCCCTCTGTCCCAGTACTCTGCCCCTGGCAGCAGCAGCTGCTGTTTAGGCAGAGCCCAGAACCCTGGCCCCTCTTTATGATCCTATTCCCTTGGGCTCCCCAGCATCCAGAATTGCTGTGTTAGGAAGACTACTTCCCTGCCTAATTCTTTCAGTATCCATTGAGTGTCTGTCTCACTCTGTCATGAAACAAGTTGTTCACAAGTTTTTTTACAAACTAGAATATAGTCACTGGCAGCCCCAGTGGTGCTGAAAGTGCCAAAGCCTAACTTGGTGTGCCTTCAGTTGGGTATGTATCTTCTGCCTTCCACAGAGACTCTAAGCAATCCTACTATCATGTGCATGCAATAGCAGCTACACATCCTCTGTATTTCAGATACACCAGTCACACCTCAGACACATCAGATGAATTGTGCCTGTTGCTCTCCATTGATTATTATAGAAGCTCAGGATGACTGCCAGATGTATTTGTCTACATGGTAGATGACTAAACTTAGGTGAGATCAATTCCCACTCACTATGCCTAGATGTAAACTCCTATGCTGAAAAATTTGATCTGAAAGCTGGATGAATTGCCCTCTTCACTCAGATGAGTTTTGGTAACACCATCTTTCTGATTTTATGAAACTGGTGTTGTTGACGCCTTCATGAATGCATTCTGTTAGAAAAGTGTTTTACCATATTGGCACTTTTAACAAAAATGAAAGTCACTTAAAGCCTTTTTGAGAATATAAAATAAAGTTTTGCTGTTCTGAATCCCTGAAGGTGAATGTTGCCAAATAGTTCAAAAGTATTTTTCTTCCTGTTGTTACTAGCATTTATGGCCTGTGCAATAAAGATTTATAATTACTGGAAAGATTCAAAGGAGGCGGGAGAAAAACCCTCTCCTTTTATGCCTTTGTAAAGTTGCTTTTCTAAGTTGTGTAAGAAGAACCTGTTTTATTTAAAAGCTTCTCTTCTTTCATTCACATTCTTTAAAAGCCTTTCTGTAATGTAATTTTAAAAATGAATGTGGTTCTATTCAAATAAAAGTTTACTCTTAATGGCTTTTATGCTTCATATGATAGAGCACCTTCATTTACCTAGTTATACATAGGCAGTCAGCAGTGTTATGAACTGTTTCTTTATTACTAAGCAGTATGCAGATCTCTGGCATCTTCCACAAAGGAAAAGGGTGGGATTTTTTTAAACTCTTTATTTGACATGATCATAAAGCATGGGTGCTAGCCCAGTGTTTTATGACATGCTCAAGTATAATTAATAATTTTAACTATGCTGGTTCCCTCTTAAGATCAATATTACAGAATTTTTCCAGTCACTATTTGAATGGATTTTAATTGAAATTGATTCCCTATAAAATAATAAATTGAAGTGTATTAACAATGATCTTGTGGTCCTTGACGTTAAGGAGTTCTGAATTCTAACAAAATTCTGAACAGTTTTCAAAAAATACCTGATTTTCCTCTATGCAGCCTGACTACTCATAAAGCACCTGTAGTGTGGTTTTTTTTTTTTATTTAAGTGCTAATTCCAACAGATGACAGCATAAATACAGCAGCCTTGATTTGCAACATGAATGTGAATGGAAATGTAGCAGGGAGTTATTGCATTTTAAATAACCTATTTTTCTGTTTGCAGCTCAGCTACAGCTGTATTGTGTGATCCTAACATTTAAATATACACTGTTACGCATAGCGCTACCTTCAAAGTTTTTATCAGTAAAAATACCTCCCAGTCACCTGACATTGAAAGTTATCTGTACAAAGAAAGGATGCATTGAGAAAATCTGCAGTGAGTAGCTCCATAAGAACCTCAGTGTTTTGCCCAAGGTATCACCTGTAAGGGCATCGAGTCAGTCTTTGTTTTTCTCAGTGTAAGAGTGACGGGTTGAGTTTTAGGCGGTATGTACATGGCAGTACCACACAGTTCTGAAGCTCCTCAACCATACTAAGGTTTCATCCACATCCTAGAGCTTATTCTCAATTAAGCTTATCCACATAGTTGGAAAAGTAGCTGGTTTACATATATTTGGCTTCTACAATGACTTCAACCTGAAGACAACCTGATCGGAAAATAGCCAGACTCAGGAACGCACACATCATTTTATATCCAGACAGCCTGGTATAAAATGTCAGGACTCTGATCTCGCATACTCATTCAACTATACAAGAGGGCCGGAGCTCATCCTCAGGAACTGTAGGTATAAGCAAGTTAGAGACTTTTGCATGTGAACAAAAAGGCATGTCAAGGTTCCCCATGTCTGAGAGCAGTCTGAAGGCATATACATTGACATGGTCTTACAGTTTTGAGTCCTCTCCACTAGCAATAGGGTTCAGATCTTCCCAGTCAGTTCATCTGGGACACCCAGCTGCCATCAGCTGGCATTTGATGATGTGAGATGGAGTTGAAGCAGTTGAAGTTGGCCTTAGAACAAGTGATTTTGCCATATTCTTTCATTCTTTACCGAGACCAGTTGGGAGGCTTACCGTCAATAACATCAGCCAGCAGACTCTGAAGTTAAGTTCTTCTTTGTTGTGTTGAGAGAGCACTGTTGCGTAGGACTTTCAGGAGCTGGGTTTTGAGAGAAAGACCTGAAAGAAAAAAGGGTCTTGCACAGCAAAAAGAGGGAGGAGTTCTTCTGTTGTTAAAACTTATTCTCCAAAGTCCTCTAAGCTGCATGGTTCTTGTTTTCTTTTCTGTTCAGTGTATGTTGGAGGTAGACATGGAGACAGAATGGTAATCACATTTCCTTCTTTCTTTAAAGTATTATTAGGTCATTCCAGTCTTCTCAAGAAATGAAGAGGAAAGCCTTCTTTCTTACTCTATTTCTTTTTGTCTTTTATTCCTTTAAAAACTCCCGAGTAACTGAGGATTGTTGTTAAAGTTGGGCCAAGAGGTTAATATCTCCTCCTCTAGTTTTCTTTTGTTGATTCTCCTTTAGCCTGAGTGTTTAAAGGGCTAATTAGACTACAGTGGTCTGGTGAGGAATTTCTTTAGCTCGCTCCAGATAGTGTAGCTATGTGAAACACTTTTCAGCCATTCCTTGTGATTTTCTGTCATAAGGTGCCAAGGCGGTCCAGCCGTATTTAAAGAATTTTGGATGCTGGAAGGAGCAATCAGCATCGTCTTAGACAATGGACTGGCTTTTAAAAGTGTCAGGTAATTAAGGATGCAGATAGACCTTTGAAAATTCCTGATGCTGATCACTCCCACGGTGTCACAGCAGTTATAATTCTCGGTCCAAACTTTAAAGACTTTGAAGCAAACAAACTGTATTTCAGATGAAAGGGACAGGAAAGAGGAAGGGAGGGATAGTCCTACCTCTAAAGCTCCACTGACAAATCAGTTGTCACCTGTGTAGTTTCTGAATGCGTCTTTCTCTAGACTCTAGAATTGCTTTAATGTGTCCAGCAGTGCAGCTGCCATCCATTCTGTTACAGCTGTTGACTGTGACACTAACCACTGATATTGTTGACTTTTGTAGATCTCTACTTAAACCTGGAGCATGATTTTTTGAGGGTCATAGAAAAGCAGCCAGTCCTTACAGCCCATCAAGGTAATGAATGTCTTTTTGCTGGGATGTTTCTTCATAAAATGAGACAACAATGAGCTTTTTTTGTCTTTTTCTAGAAATGTTTCCTTTAGGTATAGAGTTTTTTTCAGCTATCATCGTGAAAATAGTGTTTTATTTTCTTCTAGTCCTAATAAGCTCTTTCTGAGTGAATTATTATTGTTTACTGATATTTGCTTGCTAAAATTGTTTGTTGATAAATTTTCTTTCTCCCTTCTTAAGTATCAGCTGCTGTGATAAGCACTAAAATGTGTGAGCATTGCTTTGTCAGCAACTCATGTTTTCCTTTATTATACTGTTACTGCTATTCTTGAGATCTCTTTGGTTCTCTCTAGTAATGGGAGTGTCACTGTGGGAATTTTACTGTACTTCTACATGGCTTAGCTGATCACGTAAAATTCTGGTATAAGAATATATGTTTTACTGATTTCTTCAGTGTTTTCTCCTGATCCAGATGATCAAAACTCAGGGTATTTAGGTGAGGAATGTAAACAGATGCTGGGACCAGAAGAGGGGAATCCTTTTATCAAGGATGTCTCTAGGAATTAGGAGCACCTAAAGCTAGTGTCTTCTTTAAGTTTCTGCTGCTTATAATTAATTTGGCTAGAGTCTTTGGGAAAGTCTTTAGCTGACTTAAAACTTGATCCATACTCTTCATGCACACATTCTGTATCAATTCTAGTACAGTGAGCAAATAGCAAGAGTAGCTACTCTACTAAGAAGAATGTAAATTTATGTCTACCACCAGCTATGGGTTGGTTTTGCCCCAGTTATCTTCCTTTGAAAATCTGAGACCTCAACTTTGTTCTTGGTCCTGTGAGGGCAAATGAAGGAGTAATGCTCCGTTGATTTCAGCAAAATGTGAAACTAGTTAAAATGAGAACAGGATCAACCCCATTTTCCCTCTACAGCATGAGACTATAAAGCCCATTCAAATCAATGAAGGGTACCAATGACTTTGCTGACCTTTGGATCAAATCCATAAACCTTTTTAATAACTTAACTAAAACCACAAATACAGAAACATGTGTTCTGTTCTCTAACCCAACACAGGTCTTTCTAAAATTGAAAAATATGATCCCTTGCCAATTTTATTCTATCAAAAATACAATTTTGACATTTTATTCTCTTTAGAACTCTCTTCTTAACTATATAAAGCCTATTTTTCACTTGGTCTCAAAATCTCTTTTGATGATGTGCACTGCCTATGTTACTTGCAATCCTAATTTCATAATCACTGTTGAAAATGAAACGCACAAAACTTGCTTTTATCTTACTCTTTTTATTCATGTTCTTTACTAAAATGGCATAATCAAAGATAAAAACAAATATACTGTCTTTTAGCTTGAGCAGTTTGAAGTGTCTTTGTTGCATCTTACATTAGCCAGCTGAAAGTTAGGTGTCTGGTTGAACTCATTCCTCGCATTCCTAAAATAATCAAAGAGCGACAACAGCCACCTCCAGAAATAATCTGTGCCCTTCTAAAACAGATGCCCATGATAGGTGCAATGCATTGCCCTCTGGAGGTTCCTGCCTCTGTCAGCTGGAGGACTTGCCATCTAATTTGGGATAGCTAAAATTAAATAGAGGAAAAGTAGGCAGTAGCTTTTCCCATTTTTTGCTTCTCAGCATGAAGCATATAACAAGTGATGTTACCCACTTTTAATTTGCTACCAATCTTCCACTACCTTAGTATATTAATTCTATTGTCTTTATCTGTACCTGTTAGCAGAATTTGGTTATGCTATGCCCTTAAATTACTTTTTTTTTTGCTACAATTGATAACATCGTCTTTCATACTCTTATTACTTTCCGTGAACATTTTTTTAACTGAGCTAACTACTGCTCACTGGTAGTAGCATTAAAGCTCCAACCAAAAAGGCTAAAATTAATGAGTTACAAGTTCTGGGTTAAGAGGTTTTGGGGTTGTTTTCTTACTTGTAATTTAAATGGTCCTTTAGTCTGAAGCAGACAAGCGCTCATTTTATATATTGTCTTGGGATAGGGTTATAACTTACCTGTGCTTTGGCAATTTTTCTCAGAAGTGAGTGCTTTAATAACTGCAGTTAGGCAGATCCTAGTCCTCTGAGTTCTTCCTTTCATCTGGATGTGGTTGAGCCTGACACAAATACTAAACCATTATTATTATTATTATTATTATTATTATTATATGATTGTGGCTTTTGTTGTCTCTGTGGAGCTGGGTCCAGTCTTACACAGGAAGGCCAGGACGAGGCTGAGAGCTCCAGATGAAATCCTCATTGGGAATTGAACTTTTGCTTTAAAATTCAGAAAAGTTACTGAAAACTACTTCCCTTTCATGTAATTAATTAGTACAGGCAATGAAGGTGTAAGTCTCTTGAAAACCATGAACTGCATAGTTTCAATTAAATAGAAAGGCTGGTAAAACCTATCCAAAAATTACTTGAAATAATAACACAGAAGAGTGACTGAAAAACCAAGCTTCTTCATAGGTCTTTTGTTTGGTTTCTGTGTCTCCCTTAAAGCTCTCTTGCATTCTCATGCAGCTCGTTCGTTTTCTTGAATGCTAAAGCCTTTTACCATCTGCCAAAAGGTTTTATTTTGGGGTTTCCTCTAATGTGGGAGGGTGGTTTCCTCCTTCCCTTTGTGCTAGTTTCATTGCTATCTTTAGGACTCAGAGCTTACTGGAGACCTTCCTGTCTCCCTTTTATTACACAGTCTCCTCCTTCCTTGCTGCAAATGCTTGCAGAAGTGCTCACCAAGCCACTTTCCATCATTTATCAGCAGTCCTGGCTAACCAGGGAGGTCCCAGATGACTGGAGGTTAGCAAATGTGATGCCCATCTACAAGAAGGGCTGGAAGGAGGATCCGGGGAACTACAGGCCTGTCAGTCTGACCTCGGTGCCAGGGAAGGTTATGGAGCAGATCATCTTGAGTGCCATCACGTGGCACGTACAGGACAACCAGGTGATCAGGCCCAGTCAGCATGGGTTTATGAAAGTGAGCTCCTACTTGACTAACCCGATCTCCTTCTATGACAAGGTGACCCGCTTAGTGGATGAGGGAAAGGCTGTGGATTTTGTCTACCTAGACTTTGGTAAAGCCTTTGACACTGTTTCCCACAGCATTCTCCAGGAATGTTCCCCAGGGCTCAGTATTGGGGCCAGTTCTGTTTCATATCTTTATCAATGACCTGGACGAGGGGATCGAGTGCACCCTCAGTAAGTTTGCAGACAACACCAAGTTGGGCAGGAGTGTTGATCTGCTTGAGGGTAGGAAGGCTCTGCAGAGGGACCTGGACAGGCTGGATCGATGGGCTGAAGCCAATTGTATGAGATTCAACAAGGCCAAGTGCCGGGTCCTGCCCTTACTGTCACAACAACCCCATGCAGCGCTACAGGCTTGGGGAAGAGTGGCTGGAAAGCTGCCTGGCGGAAAAGGACCTGGGGGTG